ATCCACATAGCAAAGAGTGAAGCTGGATCTTTATCTTACACAGTATACATATATTAACTCAAAATGAATTAAAGCCCTAAATGTTTAACTCAGAAGTATATAACTCTCAGTGGAAAGCATAAGGTAATGTTTCATAACATTGGGTTTAGCAATGTTTTATTAAATATGACACTAGAAGCACAAAAGCAAAAAATGGACAAATGGAATTACATCAAACTTAAAAAATTTTTGTTCCTCAAAGGACACAATCAACAAAGTGAAAAGGCAACCTACATATTGAAAAAAAGTTGTAAATCATATATATATTAAGGAACCTGTACCTAGAATACATAAATATTTCTTACAACTCAACAACAACAAAAAAATCAGATAACTCAATTAAAATATGGGCAAATGAACAGACACTTCTCCAAAGATGACATACAAATGGCCAACAAGAATATGAAAAGATGCTTAACGGTACTAATCATCAGAGCAATGTAAATCAACATCAAAATGAGGTATCTCTGAACTTTACAAACAAACAGAAAATGACAAGTGTTGGCAGGAATTGTGGAGAAGTTGCAATCTTTGTGTACTGTTGGTGGGACTGTAATATGTGACTATGGAAAAGAGTATGGTGGTTCAAAAAGTTAAAAACAGAACTGTCATATGATCCTGCAATACCACTCATAGGTAGAGATCCAAAAGAACTGAAAACGTCCATCAACAGATGACTGGATAAAGAAGAGGTGGTATATTTATACAATGGAATACTATTCAGCTATAAAAACTGACAACATAATGCCATTTGCAGCAATATGGATGTCCCTGGAGAATGTCATTCTAAGTGAAGTAAGCCAGAAAGAGAAAGAAAAATACCATATGAGATTACTCATATGTGGAATCTCAAAAAAACAAAACAAAACAAAACAGAAACAGACTCACAGAAACAGAATACAAACTGGTGGTTGCCAAGGGGGTGGGGGGTGGGAAAGGGCAGACTGGGATTTCAAAATGTAGAATAGATAAACAAGATTATACTGTATAGCACAGGGAAATATATACAAATTTTGTGGTAGCTCACAGCAAAAAAAAATGTGACAATGAATATATGTATGTTCCTGTATAACTGAAAAATTGTGCTCTACATTAGAATTTGACACAACATTGTAAAATGACTATTACTCAATAAAAAGTTAAAAAAAGACAAAAAAATTCATATAAAACAAAAAAAGAACTGAAAACGTTCCAAAAGAGATGTTTGTACACCCCTGTTCAAAGCTGCACTATTCACAACGGCCAACCTAATGCCCATTGAAGGATGACTGGGTAACAAAATGTGGTATATACACACAACAGAACACCATGCAGCCTTAAAAATGAAAGGAACTCTGCTACAGGCTACAATATAGATGACCCTTGAGGACGAATGCTAGGTGAAAGCTAGTCACACAAGGACAAATACTGTATGAGTCCACTTATATTAGGTACCTAAAGTAGCCAAATTTGTAGAAATAGAAATAGGAAAGTGGTTACCAGGGATAGGGGGAGGAGGAAATGGGGAACTGTGCTTTAATGAGTACAGATTCAGTTCTCCAAGTTGGAAAATCTCTGGAGATCTGTTTTATAATAATGTAAATATACTTAACCCTACTGAATCATAGTGTTCAGCAAACTTAAAAAATATGAATAACTTAAAAACAGTTAAGATGGTAAATTTTATGATGTGTTCTTTATCACAATTTACAATAAAAAACAATTCAGGGGGAGAAAAACACCCCATTTATTTGCTTTAAAAAAGTATGATGCTGTTCAAAAGTAGCATTTGAGTCTGAAGCTTAGAAAAAGGACCGGGGGCATTTTTGGATGCAATCAGCTGACATAAAATGAAACTTAACTCAGTTCGTAGATCATCTGAGTCTCTGGCAAACTGATGCGGAACAACCGTAGGTGACACTAGAGAAGCTACAGGAGGAAGGCAGATAGATCCAAAGAGCCAAATATACTATAAAAACTAGCAACTATTTGAAAACTTACATAAACTAATGGCCGAAGCTCCGATACCTGCAGTCACTGACTCTGAGTCAGCCTGTATGCCCTATTTAATCCTGCACTGTGGCTGAGCCAGCCTGTTCCCTGTCTGTCTGTCTGTTTATTTTTTTGCTTTGTATATAGGCCAAATACAGGATTTACTTTGCTTTGGAGTTGGTGCCTACTCAATCAGGAAGAACTAAGAGGTAGAATGTGTCTGGGGACCCTTGGACAGGCCTGCTTCATTCATCAGGTAATTTGGGCCACCAGCCGCATCACTACAAGAGCTTGAACCATTCTATTTCCACACTTATGGTTTAAATAAATTACAATAATGACTAAAGAAAAATATAAAACTTGAAAAATAGCTACCACAAGGTAACGGTTATATGCTTACTAGTTTATAATACTTCTACGAGAATATGAAAGGAGCCTGCTGTTTAATGTTCCAAACAGCAAATGAAATGGTACAGACGCACCTCAGTATAACTGCATAAGGAGCATGGTCACCTGGAGAAAGGAGAGAAGCAGTGGTTTTCAAAAAAAGGAAATTTCCAATACTTGGACCAAAGGAATAAATCAAGAAAAGGGATCTTGTGAGGAAAAAGCTAAGAAATTTCTGCAATTAATATGTGATTAATACAAGACTACCCTGAGCAGAAAATTAAGCAGATTTCATTATAAAAAAATTAATTGATACCTGTTTCTTAAAATCTTATAACTCTCTCATTTAAAGCCATATAATGAATTAACGAAATAATTTAAGGACTGGCCAGGAGAATGTCTTCCCTGAAAACTTTCCTAAAACAATTCTCCTAGAAGTCTCCAGAGGTACAAGTTATCCTCCAAAGATATGCGGGCAAGGAGGCAGATCCCAGGAAGATGAGGGGCAAGAGAAGGCACAGAGGACGTGGCAGCAGAGAAGACGACCTGTGAGCGTAAGTCACTGCCGGTCGCCCAAAAGTTACTACCAAGACTTCGAGTGGGGCAAGAGCAAGCTATTTCAGTTAGTGATGTTGCCAGGTCTGATACGGTGGGAGAGAACACAGGGCATGCTGAAGGGCTGCCAAAATTTAGCTATTTTACACAGCTACTGAGAACTTTATCACCAGTGCACTGCGATTCAGAACTGAGGAGCAATCTTGGGTGAAATGTGTTCTTTAATATCTGATAAGATTTATTAAGCATGCTGCTGCTATTATTTTGATTTTTCCAAGTAAATACAGCATTATTAGTGGAAAGAGTAGGGTGATAAAAGGATTCAAATAGTTTGTTCAATGTGATCAAAGAGACCATTTCCCAGATTGTTAAACATGACATTTTTCTCAGAACTCAAGAAAACACTTATTTTATGCTAATTCAGTATATTCATACTACTGGGGTCACAAAGGGAAACAGTAAGTGACATCCTTCTCCCTGTGCCCAGTTCCTAAACATTTTGAGAAATAAAACAATGGAAACCAAAATGCCACTTTTAAACTAGTAAAGGATAACCTGGAAAAGTTTCACTCACGGCAGAGGAAGTGAGCTGGCTAATTGCACTGCAGAGTTAGACAGGTGACACCCATGCCCCAGGGGCTCTGGTGGAGGTCCAGCCTCCCAGAGCACAGCATGAGAAGTTAAGGGAAAACGCCTGCTTCCTGGAGGCAGGGCAGAGGCCGAGAGGAAGGACGGAAGGGGCAGTCAGGCATCCCTGGCTTACTTTTCACACACTTAAAACAGGGATAAATACATTATTCTACTTTCCCTGGTGTGGATTGAGGAGAAGTGTGGACAGAGGTGGGAGAAAATACTGAATGAAGGAAACATCAGGAGTTCGGAGAAATATTCATCCCCACCTCCAAACACTCAGCTATGAAAATCACCTCAATAATTTCCAACATTGGTAAAACAGAAACAACACCAGGGAGCAGCCCGCTGACGTCTTACGACCTACAGTTTACATCACAGCGCTTCCGCCTCTGAGGAGTACCTGATGGCGCTTTCGATCTTCTCTCAGCTTGTGTTTTCTCCAAGCTGTTTGTATTAGTCGAGCAGCTCTCGTTTCTTTGCGAAGATCCAAAAGCCTCGCACAGAGAAATGACAAATAGGTAATAACCACCTAAGACAAAAATACAAGGTGAAAAGAGAAGTTCCCGTGAGACAGAGAACTCACAGCTCCCTTTCGTCTTCTGTGAGCAGCTACTGTCGGTTAAGAAACTTCCGCTCACCTTTTCGTCCGGAATCGTGTTCGACATGTCTGAATGCTGGATCATAGCAGGTATTCCACCAAGGTCTCGGACTGCGGACCTGACCAACTGAAAATTTTTCTTTTCATTTTCAAGGAGTTCTTTGTATAGTTCTGAAGTGTTTTCTGCAACGCAGGTAAGAGAGCGCGATTAGATTAGACTGCTCAGGCCAGAAACCAGACAGGGCAATAGGAAAACTGGGAAAGTTAATCAACCATCAGGGACTAACCGTGATCAAATGCTCGAAGAGACAAATCCAGAGAACTCTCATCAGATTCAGACGAGGAATTTAGCACCACTGAGCCAGTCTGCGCACACTCCACGGTCTGAGTCGTACGCTGACATATAGCATCAAACGGCACGTAGCAAGGATGGTAGTGGTGGATCAGGTAGCATAACACACGGCCATCTGAGAAAGACACTGTAAAGTTCTCCACCTGATTGGGAATATCAGACAAATAATTAGCAGTGTTTAGATAATAAGAAAGATACCAGTGATTTTGTATTCCTTGTTTCCTTTTAATAGCTAAGACTATTACATCAGTTCCTATTAGTACCTAGTATAATACCACATTCATAGCCAAATTGTCACCTGTAAAATACTAGCTATTTCGAAAATAGAATTTGATTATGTTATTGTGCTGGGTTGGAGAGCATTTGTCAAAAATTCATGTTCTTCCCAGTATCTCAGAATGTGATCGTATTTGGATATGGGGTCATTGCAGATTTAAGTAGTTAAGATAACCTTGGAGTAAGATGAATCTTAATCCGGTATGACTGGTGTCCTATAAGAAAAGGAGAGACATGGAGCAGATACACAGGGGGAATGCTGTGTGAAGACAGAGGCAGTGACTGGAGTTAAGTGTCTGCAGAGCAAGGAAAGCCAAAGATTGCCAGCAACACTGGAAGTCAAGAGAAAGGAATGGGGGTGAGAAAGGATAAATTGGGAATTTGAGATTTGCAAATGTTAACCACTATATATAAACATAGATTTAAAAAAAAATCCCAAATTTCTTTTGCATAGGACAGGGAACTATATACTCAATATCTTGTAATAACCTTTAGTGAAAAAAGAATCTGAAAATGAAAAAAAAAAACAGAGAGAAAGCCATGGAACATTCTCCCCTAGAGCCTTCAAGGCTCTCTAGCACTTAATTAAAACACAGAATTTATCTATATATTTGACAGTTTTTCTACTGATGTGTGTCAGGACAATTCATCTTCATGTGTTTATACTTAACATGCACTTCACACAGAAACGCAGCACCAATCTAACAAATGATTACGTAAGATTCCTTTCCCCCCTCCACCAGCGGGGCGAGGTCCTCTAGTGCCCCCTTCTGCACGGTGGGTGTATTTGCATTTGGCTTTATAATAGGGGTGTGATCCTTTGGTGCACCAGTTCTATTCAAGTATCTCCTATTAAGACTCCCAACTAGGGCATTTTTTTCCTTAGTGATACATAAAATATTTGTGCATTATACACTTGGTGGCAGATTAGATGAAACTAGGAAGGCGACAATCCCTCACTTATTACAGGAAAAGTTTGTTTATACATATCAACTAAATCGTTTAAGAAATTAAAGAAAATATTTTATGCATTAGGTGTAATAGACTTTAACCAAAATTTATTTAAAGAAACTGGGTTAAAACAAAAACAAAGAAACTTACTTTCTTATTGTAGAAGTCGCAGACAGCATTCACCCAGTCCATTAGGAGTTTTGTGCTTTCACTGTGCTGTTCAAGGTAAGCGCTGTGCCTTCTGTCCTCCTGATTGACACGGCCGTCAGAACGGCCTGGCGGTGCAGACGCTGCTCTCTTCATGGTCTGTGTGTGCTTTAAAAAGTCAATTTCTTCCTTTAACTGATCTACATTAAGGGAAATATTCACCTGAAATACAAAAGGAGGATAGATATCTTTATTTTTTCACGCATTATTTTTGACCCACAGAAGCTAATGTCTTCTATTATCTTTTTTTTTTTTTAAGGCAAACACCATCTACGTGGGAGCGATGGAATGTGTAAGTGGTTAAGAGCGTGGGATTTGCGGCCACACATGCCTGGGTTCTAATCTCATCTCTGCTTCCTGTCAATGATGTCACCTTAACTTCATTTCCTCCCCTAGGCAGTCATGATAACAGCTACCTTACAGGAGCGCTGTGAAGATTAAATTGGAATATATATAAAGCAATTATCACAGTTCCTGGGACTAAATAAAGTAGTAATTAATAGTTACTGTTGTTACTTTATCTGATGAAAAATGCTTTTATAAATCAATACTGAGAGTTGATAATATGAAGTACAAAATGTGTCAAATGTACAATACCTGAAAAGCCAAGGCTATTTTCCAAAGCAACGCCAGAGTTTTCTCCCTGTGCCTGTCCACGATATCCTTAGATAGGATTGCATTTCCTGCAGATGGGAAGATAGTCCGTAAGCACAGTATATGGACACATCAATTTTCAGTGAGAGGTTTTATCTTTACTCAATTGTTACCATGCTCGTCATTCAGCTGAATTCCTTGGGTCTTGAGAATCTGAAGAACAATGTCAACATTGTGCATTTTTTGAAGACGACTTATTGCAGGAATCCTGAGTTTCTTTGAGAGATTCCAGTTTCGTGTGAGAAGTTCCATGATTCGCCTAACAATGGAGGAATTTTCTTATGAAACTGTTAGATAACAACATACATGAACGATGAATTTCATTTAAATACAGTTATCGCCCAAAGCAGGCACTGGTCACTCACTGTAGTCACGCCAAAGTAAGTTTTGAGGATTCCAGTTTGTAGTGAGGAAGTACTGTGTGATCTGGAGCAAGATACCCTGAGTTTATGTCCCACTGTCACCGTATAGAGTGTTACTTAAATATTTGATAGCTTAATTAGTTCCATGCTTTTCCCCAATTCATATTCTGGGGCATCAGTAGTCCCTACTGAGACCCTGTTAGATGCCAGTAGGGAAAAAAAATGTGGGGAGGAGACAAGGTTTCTATACCTAAAATTGACACCATTCTCCTGAACTTATCCCAACTTTTTAAAATCTTAAATTTATTTCATTGTACTGAAGAGCAAGAAAGATTGTATATGTACAGAAAAAGAGTGTTTTCCAGAAAGTTTTAGTCTATTCCACTTAGCAAAATAACTCCATTTGTCCTACTTACACGAGGCGCACCCCACACTGCAAGTCGACAGCAAGATTTGTAACAGCAAAATCAAATTCATCAAATGGTGTCTGAACATGGTTCACAGGTAATCCTAATAAGCTAAGGTGACGGGAAAGGTCACCTTCACCACCCAGGAAGTCTCGTGAAAAAGCCAGAAGGATTTCTTTACTAGCCTATGGAGAAACGAGTGGCAGGTATTATAGTCCAGTGTTAGACTTTTATTTACAATAAAAGCAAATTCTTCAAAACATTCTGTGCGTATAGAAATAAAGTAAAATTAATAGTAGTATAAAAAGATTGTCAGTTTCATATTGTACAGTAACAATGCAAATCTATTTCCAATTTAAGACTTTTAAGAAAGTGCTCATAATACTCCTCTAAAAATTAGTAGGAATTTGATAACATACTAAACTAGGAAAGAAAATTTCCCCCAAATTAATTCCTCAGAGACATAGCTCCATCATTCTCAAATCGAAGCTAAGAACAGCATGATGTGCTGGTGAAGCGTCAACCAACGAGTCAGGCAGGGTCAGAGCTCCTGGTAGGGCTCGCCAGGGAGGGGGTCCTGTTCTACTCCAGGGAACTGTTCTTCGGGAAACTCACTTTTTCTAAGGAGAAAATATACAACAAAGCAAGCAAAAGTCTTACATGTGAAACATAAAATATAAAATGAAAACTATACCTTGAATTCAGCATCTTTACAGAAGAGACAAGGGTCATGGTCAATCAGTCTGGAGGTTTTCGCGTAATCAAGGAAACAAACCAACAACAACAGCTTTTTCAGTGTAAACTTAGACAGAGCTTCTTCATGACCTGAAATGAAGTACAAAAAGGGCAAAGCAAGTTAATCTGTGCAAGATAGTTTTTTTTTATTTGAAATTATTTTTCTGTATTTATTTATTCTGCTGTGCTTTTAGTCTGCATATTTCTACTAAGGATTCTTGAGATGTGACTTATATTTTAAAGTCAAATTATCTTGGAATTCTTTATAAGATTATAAAAATCCTCATATTAACCTTTCTTTTTTTTCCTGGTATTGTTTGTTTGCTTGCTTGTTTGTTTTGGCAGGGGGAATGTAAATTGGTGCAGGCCACTATGGAAAACAGTATAGTAGTTCCTCAAAAAACTAAAAATAGAACTACCATATGATCCAGTATTTCCATTGCTGGATATAGAGCCAAAGAAAATGAAAATGCTAATTTAAAAAGACACATGCACCCCAATGTTCATAGCAGCATTACTTACAACTGCCAAGGTATGGAAGCAACCTAAATGTCCATCAACAGGTGAATGGATAAAGAAATTGTGAGATACATACACACAGATACACACACACGCAATAGAATACTACTCAGCCACAAAAAAGAATGAAATTTTGCCACTTGCAGCAACGTGGATGGACTTGGAGGATATGATGCTTGGTGAAGTAAATCAGACAGTGAAAGACAAATACTGTATGATCTCTCATACGTGGGATCCAAAAAGTATAACCTACTAGTGACTATAACAAAAAGAAGCAGATTCACAGACATAGAAAACAAATCAGTGGTTACCAGTGGGGAGAAAAAAGACAGGAGAGGCAAGATAGGGGAAGGGGATAAAGAGGTACAAATTACTGTATGTAAAATAAAATAAGCTACAAGGATACACTGTACAACATGGGCCAATATTTTATAAAGCTGTAAGTACAGTATAACCTTTAAAAATTGTGAATCCCTACATTGTACACCTGAAACTTACATAGTACTGTAAATCAACTACACCTCAATTAAACAAAACCAAAAACACAAGTTTTACCTGAAACTATGATAGTAATAATGTGCTAGAAACACAGTCCTAGTAAGCACAATGTGCCTTTCTTAGTGTCTGACGTGTATGAATTCATTTGATACTCACAACAACTCTGTGGGGCAGGTACCATGTAATAACTTTAAATTCATGGAGGAAACAGAGGCACAGAGACACTGAGTGTTCCAACAACAAATATTTAATGAGCACCTACTATGTGCAGGCACGAGCCCAGGTGCCACATGTACAGTAGCAAACCGAAACAGCTCTGATCTCCATGGGGCTTGCAGCCTGCTTGGGAGGACAGGGTGGGTAAAGGCAACAGGCAAATGTAATTGCAGTGTTAAAGCGTCGGGGAATGACAGGGAGTGCTGGGGTCAGGAAGGGAGGGCAGTGGAAGGAGAGACCCACTCACATCGGTTTCTCTGGAGGGTGAGGCTTACACAGACAAGAAGAAAGACAGCACAGCGCAGGAAGAGTGCAGCTGGGGCGGAGCTACTTGCCGTCTCTGTACAGATGAGGAACGGTTGGGTGCCTAAACTCCGCTGCAAGATCAGGATTCCAAAGTAAGCGATTCAGAATAAACATCGCCAACCCTGTGACATCACTGTTGTCTTCCAAAGGGATGAGTTCTCCATATATGGTCTAAGAAGAAATTCAAGCTAAAGTCAGGGCTCTGTTATCTCAAAGGAGCACAGGGATGCAGAGGGAAGGACAGACAACGCTCTTCTAAGAAACTGGAGACACTCCCCTTCCTAAACAGCACGGGAGTGATGGCGAGACTTGCCCAACAACCTCTTTGAACTGAACATGTATGTTTTGTGCAATTTTTAGTGTATATGGTATACTTCACAATGGAAAAAGACAAATGCTCAGGACTAAGATAAGTTCTTAAAAATCATGTGACAAACAGTGTTTATAATTTCTTCCTTTAAGCTAAAAAACTATCAAATGTGGGCCCGTTGTTCAAATTTAAGTACAAATTATTATAGTAATTATCATAATTACAACTGTCCCCCTAAGTGCATTTGGAAGGCACAACAGGCACCTGAATAATTCTAAATTGTCTAATAGTTAACAAATGGAAAACCATCTGTAAGGCAACTAAGATAATAACCTGGGATGTTCAGATCTGTATATAATTAATAATTTTAATGTGACATTAATTTAACATCAATGCACTAATTATTATTGATTTTAAAAGCCACTTTCTAGAAAAAACTAAAAACACATCAACACATCAAATTATATTCCATAAACTTACACTGACAAAACTAGACAAAAGCATGGCAAAGTATTAATACCTGCCAAAACAGAGACATTTTAGATTTACTTACTTTTTTTTTTGGCCTTTGATGCTTTCCTAAGATCCTTAAAAGCCATGCCTACTAGTGGAACCCTAAAGTGTGGTGGTAAGGGAGAATGTTTTATTCACAATTATTCATCCTTCCCTTCCCTTTAAAAGGTCCTTTTCCCACCAAATGGCATAGACTTGCTGTGTCTCTTGTGAGAGAGTAAATATTTCTGCCTCATTAGTGTTTGGCCAGATAATGCTCTTTGGCCAGAAACACGGGTGGTGCTGACGCACACTACATCTAAGCAGGAGCTTTGAAAGGCATTGCAGGCTTCTGCCTATCTCCCCAATTTTTACTTCTGCCACAAAACAGCTATGTCCCAAAAAAGAGAGATTCTACTTTAACTGAGGTTCTGGAATTACTTGACATGTGAAGCAGAGCCAGTTGATATGTAATTTTCTAATTAATCATTCATTGAAAAAAATAAATTGAACTGAAACTCAATTCAATTGAAATAAGAATTAAAACAAGAAATTGTAGCAATGACACTGTCAAGCGGGGCGACCATAGAGGCTCATCATTCATTCTCTCAGCGCCTCCATTTCTTGATAAATAAGCGCTAGATTATTGTAAAGATTCCTTTCAGTTTTAAAGAGTTTTCTATTACAAAACCTAGAATAAATTGAAGTAAGAATAAGACATCCCACATGACAAAGGCAAAAAGCCTTCAGGAAATATGAGTTTACCAGTAAGACTAAATGAAATGGAAACACTATGGGTTTTAATAAAAGCATATATTTTTTTAAACAGCAACTCTTAGTGGCTTTCTAATTCAGTTTGTTTTAGCATTCTAAATATTATGGAACTGTGCACCATGTGAACAATTCAAAGTACAATGACGTTTTTATGAGCAGGGTTCCATCAGAATGGTTCCAATGGCACCAGACTGGTGTAATTCAAATCCTGACCAGTCACTGGCATTCAGCAAGTCACTTAACATCTAAGCCTCTGTTTTGTCAGTGAAGTGGAAATAATGACACACACCTCCTTGGGTTTTATACAGGTTTAAAACAGCCTAGTATTGTCATTGGTAAATACTCACAAAGGAGCTTAATCTACTTGTTATTATATCCAGTATCAAATTATACATATATAAGAAACCGATAGGAAAACTGCTACATAAGAAAATGGCAATAACATATAATGACATGGTCTATAAACCTAATGAGCATTTCTTAAAGGACCTTAAATTTCATACTGAAAGATCAGTTAAGCTAACCAAATGACTTTATAAGTAGAACTATATTTTATTAAAGAGTCTATTAAAAGTATATAATAAAAAAGTGTATCTTTTTTCAAAACCAGAAAGGTGTACTTACCTCTAGGCCGATTCGTAGCCACAAAGGATTATATGACAGCAACCAGTTCAGGACTTTCTGCCGTTCTCCTGAAATGCACGTGAAAGGCAAGTGAGGTCAGGGAGAGAAATCAGCGGAAAAAAGGATAATCACTTACAAAGTTAATTTAAATAAAGTATAATTCCACTCTTCAAAATATATACATTATCACATTTAAGTATGTGAGATTTTAGGCAGCCAAGGCAAACTATACGTGTGACTCTGAAATACAAAATTTCTAGCGTGTTTTTAAAGAAGCAAGCTAAAGATTTCTGTAATCTTCTTACCCACATCTTTCCAGAGGTGTCTGTCTTTTCGAACAATTAACCGCTTAGCTTCAATTTCAATTTCAAGCTTTTTCATAGCTTTAACCATTTTCTCAGATGTAAACAAGCGACACGCAGCACGGCGTAATCTGTTCAGCCTGCACCGAGCAGTGTACGCTCTGAGCGACATTTCATCTTTGGTGGGAGCTCTAGGGACACTTATCTTATGTTGACTCTCTACTCCCAGAAGAAGAGTGGTAGCATTTACTGGGTAAAGACAAAAGAAAGAATGTTTCTGGTTAAACAGTATTTTTATACATTTTAAAATCACATTTTTTTAAAGAGAACTAAAAATCATGCTTTGTTTACTTTTGGAAAAGAAAGAAAAGTGACCTTAGTGATCATCTAATCAAAGAGCTTCTTGGTGTAAAAACCCTAGACATGCTTCTCTAACAGAGACAGAGCGGTCTCTGCTTGAACACTGCCACAGTGGAGAAACCGTCCTCTTAAAGTTAGCCTGCGTGGTGCTCTGACAGGTTAAATATTAAAAGGGTTTTTCCGTATCTTGAGTTGAACTGACCCACAGCTTCTGTGGGGCAGCAGCCCAGGCGATGCTTCCTTCCCTCGCAAGAGCAGACCCCCAAGCATTCCGCAGACAGTGTGTTTCCAGCCTGTTCTGCACTCGAGTCTCCTCTTTTCCACAACAGACACTGCGATGTTTTAAAAAGTCCCCATGTCAACTGTTGTTTTGGATTCCTCATAATTATAGACGTGCCTACACACATCTTAAACTATGTTATGGTGGAGACAACATCCCTAAAGTGATCAGGCCGCACAAGACGGTTAAATTGATTCACCAGGACGTGACACTTTATTAATGCAGCGAACACCGAACTGGATTTCTAGGCAGACATGATGCGCTGTTGACTCAGACTGCATCTGTATTAGAATAGCACCCAGTCACTCAAAAGGCTAGAATCACATCAGCTGCTGAGCGAGAAAGGAAAGTAAAAAGAAAAAGTAAAGTTTGGTACTTTCAGCACAAAATTCTCACCCACACAGCCTTGAGCATTCACATCAATGGATTAGTGAACCATGCCATTAACTACAATACAATAAACAAATACATATAATGAAAGAATGAAAAGTCATGTTAGAAATGACCTGGTAAAACAAGAGTATCATTTAATTTAAGCATTAATGATGTTTACCTGCAGAAATATTTGTTTTCACAGTGAAGTCATCAGGAGTTAATATAAAATTTAGCCACCAAGTAAAGCCCTGTTCCTGCTTTTCCTTCCAGCGTTCATCATAAAACACGTTTTTTGCAGCAAACGGCATTGGGTGCCTAGGAATACCTAAGAACACAGTTAGGTTATTGCACAAGAAATTCTCCCTTAAATTATTATACACTCTATAGCAAAAGACCATTTTAATCAGCAAAACCAACTTTAAAACACGGAACAATGTTTGCTTTTCCACTACTTGCTGGCAATGGTTGAAAGCATTTTGGGTATAAAATGTAGTCAAAGTAAAAAGAGAAAATGTAAGGCAGTACTTCCTGGTTATTGAAAAGCTCCAAGTAACGTGAGTCAATTTCATTAGAGTCTGAGAAAATAGCCTACTTATTATCTGAATAAACACTTCAACAATTCTTCAAGGCTTTTATTTGACAAAAAAAGTACCAACTCATTTCCATTTGAAATGCAATTAAAACTTCACTTCAAAAAAAAAAACCAACTTCACTTCATGTCAGGTTTTAGTAGACTTTAATGATATTAAATACTTGCCTGTTTTTAGTGGCTTTATGAAGGTCAAATTAGACTGCGCCACAGGAACAATGGGTCTTGTCCTTCTGACTGTTTTAGAATTAGGAGTTCTGTATCCTAATGAATCTAAAATACATGAGAAAGCAGAATGATAGCATTTAAAAAATGAAATAATTTCCCAAATGAACTGCCACCGAGTTAAAATCTAGGCTTTCCACAATCATATCGTTTAGCAAATATTGAATAACCAGTAAGTGCCAGGTACTATGCTATGAACTCAGGCAGTAAAACCTACGTCTGGAAGTTACAGACCAGAAACTATCATTTATGCTGTGTTTATAGAAGCTGCGATTCAGATGCAGCCAGTTCACTGTGTGTTTATTATGTACAGCAGACTCTGTGCCAGGTGCGGAGATGCAGGATGTAGAGATGCGGTACAGGGCTCAGGACGTCTTCAGTCTAGTGCAGAAGTTCAGGAAGAACCAACATCCTATGTAAAGGAGAAGTGCGTATAAGGGGCTAGGAGGACACGGAGGGGGAGCGCTGACGTCACCTAAAAGGCAGGACAGGCTCCTGGTGGGAGGACACCCGAGCCGACTCTGCAGTGGACGTTACACACCAGGCACAGGGCCTTTGTCAGAACCGCAAAGTGGCCGGAGCCAAGATCACGCATATAAAAAAATTTAAAAATCAAGGCAAAAAGAGGCTGAAAGAGGGAGAAAAGAGTGTAATCATATTAAAAATAACAGTGGCAGCTATTTGAACACTTTGTGCCAGGCACAATCAGAGTCTTGTAATTTAGGTTGCCTCGTGATCGTCACCAGCAACCTATGAGAGATGCACCAATTTTATGGAATTCGGACACTGGAGCTTAGAGGAGCTAAGCCAGTTGGTCAAGGTCACGCAGACTAGTAAGTGGCAGAGCTCCACTGTCCAGCTCCAGGGCCCGCACTATCACTCTGTGAAGTGCCTGGTTTGTCAAGGCAGGATTTAAGCCTAGGAAGTAACATTGTTATACATACTTTAGAAGACAGTGTGGATGGTGGAATGAAAGGAGTCAAGACAGAGATGGAAAGCTAAAAGGAAGCTATCCCAGAGGCCTACGTTAGCGCCGATGAGAATTTAAATGAACACATGAGAAGTGCAGACAAATCAGAGAAGAGTGATTTTCACAGAGGAACTCACAAGACTTAATATCAACTGACAGGCAAGTGATGCAGAATGAACCCCAGATGACAAAGTAGATGATGGGTGGTACCTACAAAGGGAAGCATGTGAAAGTCACAGCAGCAAATAACCCATGCGAATGCAGTTCACTGCCTCAAAGGCAGGTTTACACCAGCTCCTGCTGCAACAGGAGACAAACAGAGCAAGCTCAGGCCCAGGACAGAATTCAGCCCACAGCTGTTTGTGGACAGTCTGTAAGCTAGGAAGAGTCTTCACATTTATAAATACTAGTTGAAAAAAGTCAAAACAATTATATTTCATCACACATGAAAATGACATGAAATTTGGTTTTGGTGTCCATAAAGTTGCATCAGCACACAGCCACTGGCATTCATTTACACACTGTCTGTGGCTGTCCTCCCTTCTACAGTGACCCAGCTCTGTGGCTGTGACAGAGATCCTATGTCCTGCAAAACCTGAATATTTACTTTCTGAACCTTTAGAGAAAGTTTGCTTAGCTTTGATTCAGAAGAATTGCAGATCTGTGCCAATTGTCAAAATAAGGAACATGATTAAATTGTTACACAATATTGATTAGATTGTAAGGTTCTTTGCATTTTAACATATTTAAAGATAAAAATACGAGGAAAAGTTCCTCATTTTGAAGCCTTGCAGAAGCTGGTCCTTCTGCAAGGAACCGTTTTACTTTATGGGAATCTTCCTTCGAACCGTCCCACAGACTCCAGTCATTCACATAAAGCCAAGCAAACTGCCTCCACTGCTGTGCTTCCCTGATTCCCTGTGCATTGCTCGGAGGACTGGGAGCAACTCAAGGGCAGGAATGATCTTTTCTCCTTGTATCCAGAGCTTAGAACAATGCCTAGAACATAGTAGGTACCTTAATGTTGAATGAATGCATCTTGAAAAACTGACTTCTCTCTCTGCCCTCTTAAGTTTGTCAGAAGAGAAAGAAGGCAGAAGCACTCTTAGTGAGTTACCATGCTCATAAATCAGACATCCAATGTGTGCAATCCTCTTTAAACCTTGCAAAGAGGCTCAGCTCAGCTAGTTGGCCACCTCAAACAAACTGCAAGTTCAAGTGTCAACACATCAATGGATTATTTGCTCATTCATTTACTGTGTCATTCATTCATCATTTATTGCACATCTTGTAGAAGATCAAAATAGATGTGTTCCTTTATATTCAAAGGATTTGTTATTTGGTCAGAACATTTCTATAGGAAATAATAATGCAGGCAAACAAATGTAATTAACAGGTAGATATGAGATGTTGTATGCTGCATTCAGATTTGCTAAGGGAATGTACCAAGAGGGAAAAGTCATCAGAGAACAGAGTACTTGAAATCAGTGAAAGATCTGAGTTAGTGAGAAAACAACAGATATGAAAATTAAGAAAAGAATACATGGTCAAGAATAAGACAAGGATGCCCACTCTCACTTTTATTCAACGTAGAATTGAAAATCTTAGCCACAGCAATGACGCAAGATAAAGAAATAAAACGAATCCAAGTTGGAAAGAAAGAAGTGAAACGGTCACTATTTGCAGATGAAATGATACTATAATATGGAAAACCCTAAAGACACCACTAAAATACTGTTATTAGAACTAATAAACAAATTCAGTGAAGTTGCAGGATACAAAATCAGTATACAAAAGTCTGCTGCATCACACTAAACACTAAATTTACACTAAATACACTAAAAAGAAACTATCAAAGATTTTTATTGCATCAAAAAAAGTAAAATATCTAGGAATGAGGGGAACGATGTCCCCAGGAGCCTGGAGTGAGCAGTGGCCTCTTCTGTGCTCCCAGATGCAGAGATGGAGCCAGGTCTTCGCTGGGCCTTCGCAGCAGGGCCTGGACCAAAGCGAGGCACGTGAAGTGCCTCCCCTAGGGCAACACTTGGCAGGGCGGGGGGTCCTCGGTAATCCAGACACATGTTTCAATGCAATTTTTTTTAAATAGAAATTAATGCAGAGAAATCTTGATGAACAAAACATCAAAAGTTTAAATAAGAACACGATCACAACACTTGATCTCAGAATTCAGCCCCACACTACATTGCACTAAGCAAATGGGTAAATAAAAAGTACAAGTGAGTTCAAGCCGACCAACAGCAACTTAGTGAACCAAAAGCAGCAGAAAGTGTGCCCTTCCGTGGTGCACCTTCACCAAAGACTTTTCAGCCAGACTCACCAGTCTTCTCCTTCAGGCCCAGCTTCCCCCGGTTGCGCCCACGCCGCGAGGCTGACGCCATCGCTCTTCTCGTGCTTCTAACAGCTGAGGTTTTAGCCCCCACAGGAGAAAAGTGGATCCTTTTGATTTCCTGCACTTCTGTGTACTCTGTGGCTGTAACTCTTACATTTTCACCTCCTGTGTTTCCCTCACTCTTTCTTTTACGAGCAACTGAAGCTATCTTTGGGGGAGGAGTTACGACATTTTTATAACTCTTAGGTTTACTTAGCATTGGATCTGTAGCTGGAAGATAAGGATGAAAATCATCTTTCTCGTTTTGATCATCTATTTCTTTTTTACATTCACCCACTACACTGTTGAGACACCTTTTTGCCTTTGGTTTATTAGTCTCCGTTTGGTTTTCTCTGGCAGAGGTGGGCTTTCTCTTAGTAACAGTGGCAGAAAGTATTGGACGTCTCTTAAGTGATTTATTGTGGCCGTGACTGGGAATAACCTGAACTACAGAAAATTTAGGCTGATCCTGTTTTTTAAAAGTGTAACAGTCTGACTTCATTTCTAAAACTTTGGATTCTTCAAAAATAGCTTTTGGAGATTGTGAACCCTGACATTCAGGAATACCAGGTAAAACTTCATTTTTTCTCCCATCTTGAGGAGACTGTGAGGCCTGAGAATTAACATTTAATAATGGTGATAATTTACATGTTTGCTGAGATATACACACATAGGCCATATTATCTTTTACAAATTGACTTGGGGATAGAGTTGGATTAATTGTCTCTGATTCTACGTCATGATTTAGTCCATAATTATCCTTTATGAAAGAATCTGGACTTAAAATTGTCCGGTAAATTTCATGTACACTTTTTGATTCCAAATGTACAGACCTTGAATTACCGTTGACAAACATATCTGGTGAAAGATGCATCACTAATTCTGGTTCATTATAAGCTGCATGGCTATTATTCACAAAGGAATCTGGACTTAGAAAATTTCCTTGGCTTTGTGTAATGTTCAAAGTTGAAGAGTAAGTTGGGGTAAGACTTAGTTTACTATTCTCTTCAATTTGGCCATTGACATTATTTACGGAGTCAAAGGAAGTTTCAGTTAGGGCTTTCTCATTAAAATGAAAATCTTTGGAAACGTTGGCACCTGCTACTTCCAACAGCCCCCCGTTCTCAGCTGCAGGAAGGGACGTGTAGGTCGTAGACCGACGCACAGAGAGTGGCACGCGAGTCTCTCCATGGCACTCTTTGAATGCGGGACTAATAGGTGATATAGGTATTTTATTTCCTTCAAGGATTAAAGAATTGTTTTCTATTGGGGAACAGCTTTCACTCATGGCCAGATTTTCACAGGCTTGTAGTGGGCTCCTAACTCTGTCAGCTTTGGGGGAAACACTAAATGTTTTATTAACATTTTGAATATTTGAAATCTCCTTGTTACGACTTGAGGAAGCTGACACTTTCTTCTTATTGATGGTATCCCAAAGACTCCTCTGCAAAGTAAGCAAAACAGTTTGTTGAAAGCTATTGAGTATTACCTTTAAATAAGAAATATTATGTATGTTACTCACTTCAAGACTGTTATCAAAATAATTTTTACATATTATTATTTTCTTAAAGTAAATTACAGAGTGATTAAAACATTACCTTTTTCCTTTTCTGCTCTTCTGCATTTCCTAGTAATATAGCTTGGTGTTTAAGAATATCATTTACAAGAAATGTCACAATCTCTCTTACTCGGCCTCCTTTCAAAGGTGTCCAGGTAATAGAAATAACAATTTTTTCTTTAGGCTGTAATAAAAACAACACATTTTAAATGACTGTGACAGTAGTGATGTATAATAACCAAAACATATTGTATACCATTTAGACTACAGTAGAGGATTAATGATTGTCAGTCACCTGCACTCTACACCCTAATGACATTTAACACGTCAAGTATATTTTCCTACTCTTATCTCATTTCATTATAAGGAAATCAGCTACTAGTAGTAACAAGGCTCACAACAAAATAAAATTATAATAAACTCTCAATTGTATATGAAGGAATGAAACAGTCTCCAAATCACTTTATTTTGGTTCAGTGGTTTTTTTTTTTTAACAATTTAATCATATATTTCTACTTCCTTAGTATAGGTACAGAACTTCTATTTCAAATATAATGAGCTTGTGTCAGAAGACTTTTCCAAAAAGAAATGTAAAGATGATCAGCTAAACCCCTTGTTCCCCATGAACTTCTCTGAAATCCACATCATCGTTATTGATATTTGTCAAACACTTATTATGCTCCAGGCATAGTCTCAGGTATCTAATAGAACTAGCCTCACCCTCACATCCCTAGGAAGCTGGGACTATGACGACGCACATTTTACAGATGAGCTCATCAAGGTCCAGAAAGCTTTCTTTGTCAAAGTCATACCATTAGTAATTAGAACCCGGACAGTCGGAGCCCAGAGTTTAAACTTTAACATCTACAACCCACAGCCTGGCGGGAATTTGCCAAATGCAAAACCCTAACATGACAAAACAAACCCTGTGTCTGTTGTTTTTCAGAGGAAAAAAGCCAAATTTTGTTTTATTTATTTAAACAAATTAAAATAGAAGTTTCAGGGCCGGGTGAAGCAGCCGGTGCTGACGCAAAGCTGCAGCGGCTTCTCCAGAAGATCCAGCCACGATGGTTCACGGAGGTGCTGCCCTGAACCAGATTGCCAGTGTGGGTGCAACAGCCTTCTACTGGGAGAAGACGCCACCTCGGGCTTCTGCAGTGACAGAGGAGTCAGTGCTTAGCTTCAAAACTTCAAAGGACCAGCTGACTCTCTCCTTAGGGGCTAGTGCAGCCAGTGACTTCAAGGTGAAGCCAGTGCTCAATTTCCTCTTCTGAAAGTCCCAGGGCCCAAAAGAATTATGCCAAACCTACGCTGCCTGTGACGATGTGACTGAATTGCTGCAATTTCACGATAAAGCTTGAATGGATGAGAAGCTGCTGCTTATGGATGAGCAAAGAGAGTGGCTTCTTGAGATGGAATCTACTCCTGGTGAAGATGCTGTGAAGATTTAGAATAATACATAAGCTTAGTTGATAAAGCAGTGGCAGGTTTCGAGAGGATGGAATCCAATTTTGAAAGACGTTCTTCTCTGGGCAGAATGTTATCAAACAGCATTGATGCTACAGAGAGATCACTTCTGAAAGGAAGAGTCTATCAGTGTGGCAAACTTCATTGTTGTCCTATTTAAGAAATTGCCACGAACACCCCAACCTTCAGCAACCACCACCCTAGTCAGCAGCCATCAACACTGAGGCAGGACCGTCCACCAGCAAAACGGTTACGACTTGCTGAAGGCTCAGATGATGGTTGGCATTTACTAGTAATAAAGCCTTTTTAACGTAAGGTAGGTATATTGTTTTTTGAGACATGATGCTATTACACTCTTAATAGATGACAGTGTAAACTTTACATGCTCTGGGAAACCAGAAAATTCACGTGGCTCACTTTGTTGTGAGTTTTGCTTTATTGCAGGTCTGGAACCAAACCCACAATACCTCTGAGGTCCGCCTGTATAGCTGACTTAATCGGCATATCTATCAAAATTCTTTCCCATTGAGATTCAAATGAAATTTCTGTTTAGGATAAATTCAAGAGTGTGAACTCTTACTACTTGCTTCTCAATTTATATATAGGACATCTTACGAGGGGGCATTCCTTCTAAAGAGTTACTGGTATTTAACAAATAAGTTATCGAGTGCCTAATGGTACACATAGTACCTGACACATAGTAGGCGCACATTAAATATTTAAGTGACAAGATTCTTGAATGAATGAAAAATCGACATGGTCTCTGGCTTCTTTATTCTTTCCAATAAAAGAAATTACAAAATCTAAGTGAAAAGACAAATACAAAAATGTAAGTTCCAAGTACTGTTACCAATGACACAAAAAAGGGTCTGAGATTCAGAGCAATGAATAGTGAAGGGGATCTATCATCTCTGAGTGGGTGATAGGAGATTCTAACGTCTAAGCTAAGACAAAGTACAAGAATGAGGTGGACAGACAGAGCTAAGGGAGGAGCAGTTTAGCAGAACATACAGCATGTGCACAGGCCTCATACAAGACGTTGCCTAGTGTAGCTCCAGGAACAGATACAGGACCAGCATGGTTTAATATTAACTAGTGAGGGGGAAATGACCTGCAATCCAGGAGGCTGGAGAGATGAGCAGAGGACTGCTGTATATATGTAATCTCTTTAGCAGATTTGAATATTATAAATAACATTATTTAGCTGTACATTTTGTGGCTGCAGAGGTTTCATTTTCTTTTGTTTGTTTGTTTGCCTATTTTATTTAAGGCATACCAAAATGTAGTTCTAGTCTTTTTATTTCTAATTGAAAGCTTAAATCGCTAACCCAGGAGGTGAGCACATTTGGAAAAAGATGCTCAGTGTTCACTCCCTTTTCCTTTCCCTGCCTCCTCCTTCTTTATCCATCTCCCCATGAGGAAGTCCTTATTTAATCTGTAACAATCTATAGACTGAGGCAGTGAGACAAAGTTAGTTTTGAGAGAATTTTAAAGAGACTTATATAACTGATACCTGCTTTCTGAACTGCAGTGAGAGTCTGTCAACAAAACTTCATCTTTTATGGAGACAAATACTCTCAGAGGTGCAAAAACTGAGATAAAACATAAAGATAAAGCATTTTGCTTTTTCCCTCCTTGTAAATCCTCATTTGTTTCCCCTATTCATTCCCCCTTGCTTTTAAACTCTTAGTAACTCAAATAAAACAAATGAAGGAACAGATCTGTTACTTATTTTCCTTTAAATATGCCACTGTTAACTTCAGTAATGACATTCTTGGATATGCATCACTATTAATTTTTTGAACAGAGGCATTGCCATGAGTCTGCTACAAGTGCTACTCTTTTACGTACATTCTGAAAGACACCGGAGAGTCAGAATTACAATGAGAAATGTGGGCTGCATCTTCCTCCTTTGGGAGAAGATGAAAACAAAGGCTGACAATCAATAAACAAAATGCTCTCTTGCATTTCCATTTAGTCCTAAGATTCTGTGGTTTTGGTTTACAGAAAGGTGACACACTTTTACTAGTGACAGATAGAAAAGTGACAGGGGTAGCCAGTTAGCTGAAGCTGCTTGTTGTCAGATGAAGCTGGCCCGCCACCTTGTGGCCATACGTGCAATGAGCACAACTGTTTCAGAAACCTGGCTGTGAAGGAGCCTGGGAAGAGCCAGGGCAACTTCAGCCACGTCTTTCAGTCACATCAAAACAGCATCAAACTCATTGCAGACAGAAGACAGGAGATTTATTTTCTTAAAGAAGCGCAAGAAGCTCACGTTACAGCCCGTACTCGTGTGTAGCAGGAGCTTCTATTTCCACAACTGGCACCAAGGAGCCTGTGAAACAAAGAGCATCTACCTGAGTTGTTCCCAGCACGGGCTGCAGAGCTCACTCGAGGGGTTTGTGAGAAGCAAAGACCCCAGACCCTGCCCTGAGCCCTCCCCAGGAGGGATGCTGCAGCGGGGCCCTCGAATGGCTGGTTTCAGCTGGAGTCAGGGAGCAAACGCCACGGAGCTTAACCCCATTCAGTAGGGCGAGTGGCGATTTTAACTGAATGTCCTCAAAAAGACCCAAGTTATTCTGTTCAAAAACCAACCAACCAACCCCATACATTGTAGCCGTCATATGGAGATTTTAACACACCAATACTGTCCAATTAAAAAAATGTTTAGAAGATTAAAAGAAACCCCAAATTTCATTTAAAAATTTTCCTTGGATAGTTGTTC